GATGATGATGATGATGATGATGATGATGTTGGTGATGTTGAGTTCACTGTATCTGTTTAAATAACGATAGATTATGTTAATAGAGGATACATATATTCACAAAGGGTTAATTTTGTATTATCTATTATTAAGTAATTAATCAATGAATTAATTGTTGTACCTCTTTTAAAAATAGACCTTTTTAAAGATTACAAGAGACAGCCGATTATTAAAGAGTACATGTTATCGATCACAGATAACTAATTGGATATTTAATTCAAATTATAAATAATAAATACTAATTAAAATATTAATGTATTTTACAGATACATTATTATAAATGGCAGTTTATACAGTTAAACAGTTACTATGGATTATAGATGAAAGATTGTGTACTACAGAGGACACCGTATTAAGTGTAGATGAAAGATAATGTACTACAGAGGACACAGTATGGAGTATAGTTGAAAAGATCATGCACTACAGAGGACAAATTATAGAACAGTGCTACATAGACACGTGACACCAACGTCAGCTGCCATAATTCTTAGGGAAATGAAATCAGAGTTCAGGGTCTATTTTTGGACCTGAAAACCAACTGTTGTTGTGGATGGATATGGTTCCAGTGCTTGGTCATCAAAACCAGAGAAGGCCTGTTTTGTAAAAAAAAAAAAAGAAAAAGAAAAATTAATGATGTGTCCTTGTTCCAGGGCGAGAGTGAGTAGACAGACTTGTGTTCAGGAGAGTCAGGATTATGGTTCTCCACGGGTCAGTGGACGGGGGGGGGGGGGGGGGGGGTAAAGCTACACCTGACTACACTCCCCTTCCTCGTACTCTGAAAACGGCTGAAAGTCCATGAAGGACAACGACCTGCTGATGTCCTCCAGAAGACCTTCATCTCGAGGATGCAGATGGTCCATGACCTCGTCGTCATCGAAGCACCAGCCGGGCCAGTCCACGTTCACGCCTTCTGAGAAGGCGACGCTGGAGAGAAGAGAGCGAGAGATGGAAACGTATTTACCAAACACGGGTGACAATATATCAATATATATTTATATATGTATGAGCGGAGCATTTCTGTGTTTCAGACCTGTTTCTGTTGTCGTCCTCGTCTCCATCCACCAGCTCCTCTTTCCACTCTTTACTCACTGTTAGCGCGCGGTGTCTCATCAGCTCCACCTCCTCCTCCCACTCCGTGACGCTGGGCGAGGACGACGGTGTGTTGGAAAATGAGGGGGACGGCGGGGGATATTTTGGTCTTAATTTGGCGTCTTTGACATGCTGTCCTCGCTTCACGCCGTTACGCTCCTTCACTCTTTCTTTTGCTCTTTCCAGAAGACCCTCTAGTGGTGAGGGGCAATGTCCTGCACGGGAATAGGGAATTTCCTGTACTTGCGGTAACGCGTACAGTCTGCCGCTGTGCAGGCGAAGTCCGTTGTCTCCATCCAGAGGGACGGAGGCGCTGCGCTGAGTCTTCATTCTGGGGTCTTCTCTGAGGAAGTCCAGGTCCTGCAGCTCGGACTCGGACAAGGTCTGGGTCTCCGGAGAGTTTCTGCCCTCCATGTGCCAAAACATGCCTTGGTTGGGTTTCAGAGAACCCAGCTTGAGAACACGAAGTGAATCTGAGCTTTGGCCAGAGGGGGCAGCGTTTCCCCTGTTAGGGTGTTTGTTAGAGTCAGAGTGGTTCAAAGATCTCCAGGTTTCTCCTAAACCCGGGTCGAACTGCTTCGACGTCTGGTTGGAGAGGCCCTGGTGGTTGCTCACTGGCCTCCTCTTCCGTAACTTGGGAGAATGTAACGTTTTTGAGCGCCCCCAGGCGGCTGAGGAGGTGCTGGTGTCTCTAGGATGGTTTGGATAGGAACCTTTACTGATGTTCTGGTCCATAAACTGGACGTCTGCTCTCACTGATGCTGCTGGTGGTTGAAATTCAGGACCTTGTCTTAGTTCATTGGTCAGGGGTAGTTGGTGAGTAAAGGGTAAAGTTCTGTCGTCACCCAGTGGGTAATCCACGTCTGGTAATCCTCCAACTAACAGAACATGAGGTCTGGTCATTTTACTGAATCTTGGATCTTCAGCAAACCCTGAGAAGAACAGATCCAGAGGAGGGGACACCTGGACTCTCCTGCTGAGGTCGAGGATCTGCTGATCCGTCATCTGAGACTCGACCATTCGTCCGTCTTCTGCTGCGTGGTTTTCATCCTGATCGCTTCTCACCACCATTTCGATCCACTCGTATTCTTTAGCTGCTGGTTGTGGAGCGTACGCGCTCGCACGCAGCGGTTGGTGGCCGCTGTTCACGGACTGAGCGTGCCAGAAAGGTAAACCGTTGGTGTCAGTGAACTCATCGCTCGCTGGATGGTAGTGTGTGTGAGCTCCTCCAGGTGGCGATGTCCCGTTAACTGACGCTGGGAGAACAACCTCCTCTGAGAGCTCATCCACCAAATAACCCTTTGTCTCCATGAACTCCGTCTTCGGTTCCTCGACGGCTCGGCTCTCCAGGCGGACTTTCCAGTCGTCCATTTGTTTTTTGTCTTCCACTTTTCTCAGATTGGTCAGAGTTTCCTGGAAAGAAAAAAATATATATATTCTCAGCAGACTCACTGAAGGTAAGACGAATGTAACTGTTGGTCAAGATTGATCGCAAACTTTAATCTGTTCTAAATCAACCATAAGAAAGACGTGATCTAAATCTTTTTTATGAACAGGAAGTTAAAAAAAATAGGGGCCAGAATATTCTACAGAAAAAAACAACATTGTCCAGGAAGTGAGAGACAACCCTGCTCAGCCTGGGATTCAAACCCACATCCTTCCTGCTAAGAAAGGAAACCCAGTAAAACAAAATGAAAACGATTGTTTTACAAACACACACACACACACACACGTCTGTGGCGCTGATGTTCTAACTTCACCTTTGCCTGGTGGATGGTGGAGACCCAGGTGTTACAGCTGTCTGAAGAACTGGCTGTAAAAATGTAGACGTTCATGGCGCTCTGAAGTTCACCAGTCTCCACCAGGAGAAATGAAGCTGAGGGACAGAGAGGGGAGAGTGGTCTGGTCTACATGGACTAGGTCTACATGGACTAGATATGTACATGGACTAGGGACAGAGAGGGGAGAGTGGTCTGGTCTACATGGACTAGGTCTACATGGACTAGGTCTACATGGACTAGATATGTCAGGCTACACTCAACTCACAACACCATATGATTTTATCATAATTTTTCTTTTTAAACAAAATGAACGCCAAAGAAATTTATTTAAAAAAAAAAAAAAACGATGATTCTTTATTCGTAAGAACTATAAAAAAAATATCATTCGCAACTGAAACCTGTTGACCTGGCTAACTGGAAAACACTGTTGGTGTCTGTGGAACAAGTTCTTCCCACGTTCTGTTTCAACACCTAAACGTCTCTTAGCCCACGACAGGACCTGACGTCTGGGTTTAATACTGGGTCACAACCAATGTTTTTAAGAGCATACTGCCACCTACTGTAGTGGAGTGTGTAGTGTCATGGTATGACCAGTGACTTTTTGCAGTAACTCAGTTATCTACTCCTTACACCTTGATGTGAGATTTTCTTTTTATTTCAACCGATGTGAATCGTCACAGATTAGTATGTTTAAATGTTACTCACAGCCATCTTTCAGTGCCACACAAGAGGTTTTGTCCAGGGCGAGCGGAGGCCGAACGACCTTGAGTCGCTCTCCTTTCTTCTGGACTTTTGTCATCAGCAGCACGTCTGAGAAAAGCAGAGCGACCACCTCCAGCTGCACCACGTTCAAGAAAAGGAAGGAAATAAAAAACAAAAGTGATGAGAGGAATTTTCTTTCTTATTCTAATTTTATTTTTGTTTTTACAGTGAGACGCTGATCACACGTACTTTGTTGTCTTTTCTGTCTCGAATCTTTAAGTTCTGCTCCAGCAGCAGCCTACGTACGACCCCATGACCTACGCCCCTGACGGGGCAGGTGAGGTCAAACTGACAGATCTCTCGAACATGCTGTGAAAAAACAATTGTTACGAGGATTTATCAGCGAAGGTGCATTTGAAAAAGATCTGGGTTTATATCCAGAAACGTGTTTTCGTGTTCTCCGTAAAGAAGTACATTTTAAAATAGTAAAATGTTTTTGATCAACGTGTACATCTTTTTTTTTGCAGTACATCTGTGGGAGACCACGACCCAGATTCTTTTTCCATTTTCACAGCAGTGTTGTTTTTTTACCTTGTCGATTTCTTCACTTATTCCCTCCACGTCGTATCCCTCCACCCTCTGAGCAGAGATGGAGAGAGCCAGCTCCTCATCCTTCAGCTTCAGGTAGTCATTGATGCTCTCCAGGAAACTGTTCACACTGGACAACTGGACGCAGGAGCAGAGTTTGCTGTGTGTCAGTGTTTACTCTGTGGACAGCAGGAGGTTCGATGACGTCACACTCTCACCATGCCTCTGAGGACGTGCTGCACGTGCGCTTCCTGGGTGTTTCTGAGCACAGCTTTAAGCAGCAGGGGGTACTTGGTGATCCTCTGGTGGGGTTTGGCCTGCATGTCTCCAAGTCGCATACGCTCGCACTGAGGATGAGTCTCCACCCACTGGAACAGAACAAAAAGGGCGACGCTTTAATTTCAGTGATTGAGTCGTCCATTGTTGTTGCTCTGTGGGTGTGGACGCTTGGTTTCTGGTGACATTTTCAGGATTATTTGACCACACAGTCAACACTGCTGTGGAAGTAAACAAATTACATGACATGACAGAGTAGGTCACAGAGTAAGAGGAGGTGCGTGTTAGATGTTCTTTGAAAAGAATGGTACTTTTTAGAAGAAGAGAGGCAGAATATTAACTATAATTGATTATTTATTTATATTTAAATAAAATAAGAATGAAACGAAATTAACCTTTAATCTGATGTTTGACAGAAAAAGGCAAAATTCCAAAGTCCACATTTTAAAACGTAACTCAAAATTCCAAAGTCCACATTTTAAAACATAACTTTTGTGTTTGTTTGTTTGGTTTTTTTTTCTTTTCTTTTTTCCACTATTTCTCTCTATTTACTTATTAGCATGTAGCTCATCTCACTGTAGCTCATCTCACTGAACTCTGGCTAGTGAGAAATTAATTTTCTCTTTTCTACTCAACCATGACAATCACAATACACCGTCAAAACTGTTGAAACAAGGTTAAGGAAAACATTCTCGATGTTATCGAACACACCTTGACTGTAGCTGTTAGAGCAGCATTTAGCACGCGCTCTTTTAGCTTATGCTAATAGCATAAACAATTACCAGCGTTTGGCGGTGCACGAATACATAGCAACTTCAGTGCGCCGTCTTAGCGCAAGCGTCACTTATAAAATAATTTAAAGTTTTTTTTTTTCCTGTCAATAAAAACGTAACGGAAAATATTGTTGTGTTTACTCTATAAGCCATTAACTGCTTTTGTTATTATTTAAAAGTCATAAAATGTATATTTTAAAACCGCCTTTATGTATTCGACTCGCGCTCGTACAATCGCGTTTTAACACCGCTAACGTCCTTAGCCCCGTTTCTTCTACACCTTTAAACATTTGTAGATCTTAATGTTTGTGCTACATTACTGCCACCTACTGGGTCTTTTTAAAAACTGTTTTCTCGCTCACCTGCAACAGTATGAAAGAAACAAAACGATGCCGAGGGAAGATAGAACATAGAACAAAAATGTGTTAGTTAGTGGGTGAGTTAGTTAGTTAAATATAGTTTTAAGTTATGAAAATTAAAATAAACATTAATATTAATTAAAATGACAGTTATGATTTTTTAAATTAATAAATAAAAAAAACATTTTCTACAAAAAAAAGTAATTATGTTAATTAACTGAGGACAGTTTTGAGTCTTCCCACCAACGTTTATGGGAAGCAAACTATATTGTGGTTTCATATCAGTAGGTGAACGTCACATGGTCACATGTGGTAATAAGTTTTAAAAACGTCATTAACCACATACAGCCACTAATTTGAACACAGAAAAAAACAGATCAGCACAACCAGGCCAGTGTGGGCGAGTATCTGTGTCACTTTAGCATGCCATGCACATTAAACCCCACACCTGACACACCTGGACGTAGGTGAGGAAATGTGTGCTGCTCTCCATCTGCCTGCGTGAGAACTCCAGGTTGTTCTCTTCTTCCCAGCAGTACTGCAGGTACGAAGGAAAACGCTGCGGGAACTGAGAACAAAGAGGAAAAACACAGTCATCGTGTAGAAAGTTACCGTCGACACAACTGCAGTTTTCATCTGGCCTTCACTCACGTTGGACATGTTTCACACGTGAAGACATTTTGTTCTTGTTATGATATAAAAGTTTGCAAACTCTTGATTCTTTGTTTACCATCAGGGTTGTGTTTGTGGTGTTTAGTTTGTGATACTGCTTCAGTGGAAAAAAAAAAAAAAAGCTGTGAATGTTTTGACGCGTACTGAGAAAACCTTTACCTGGAGACAACCGACCTCTAACCTCATGGGGTCAAAGGGTTGACCTGTCCTGCGGACCTCGTCTAACATGGGGTAAATCACCTCCTGCCAGAAGAGCTGGTGTGAAGCGATGATGGAGCTGAGGTTAGAGAAGAGCAGCTGAGGCGTCACCTGTCAAAACCAAAATCATTTCAAATATTCACATTGAGTCATTTTCAAACTGGTGAGCTTTGATATTTTCATCATTTCAGTGGAAATGTGTCGGCTGTGCTACATTTTCCATTCGTGCTCATGGGTTTCTATTTTGGTTCCTGTGGATGTTCTGAGTGCAGACGTGTGTCAACAGTGGAAAATCACTCATGTGAAGTGTGTCGACTGTTAACTAGGTTTGTGGGCTGTTCATGTAGATGAGCCTGTGGCGTTCACTCACTGACCTCCAGCAGAAGTCCGTGCTGGTGCAGGTTGACCAGAGCGGCGATGACCAGCTGTTCAAGGCAAACACAGGAGTTTGGTTTAAAAAAAAAGAAAAAGAAAAAAAAATCTATGAAAGCGACTCTAAAAATCTGTCTTACGTCTTTAATGATAATGAGCTTGTTGATGTAGGTGAGCTCTGTGTGAACAAACTCCCACAGCGCCTCCTGCTGGTGTCTCTGCGTCTTTGCCATAATCTGACCAGAAAGAGAAGGAGGAAACGTCAAAGTGACTGTTGGTAAATTTATCGATACAGTTTTTAAAAACAAAAGGGAAGTCAAAGGCTCGGTGGGAAATGTTTTGATGAAAATAAGACTGAGAAGAAGAGCGGCTTCATGTTTCTGACACTATTTTCATCCGCACTTGTACAGAAACAGGTCTGTGGTTTTGTTGTCTTCCTCATCAAAACCCTAAAATACTTTAAAGTAACTGCAAACAGTTTCTCGTCAACAGAAAATCAATTTTTATTCTTTTTTTATTCTTACTATTTTTAATAATCACTCAAATTCTTGGAAAATTAGTAACAAAATATTATTTTAGCACAAACAGGGGTTTTTTTTAATTAAGTTTGCCTTTTGATTTTCACAAAATACAAAAGGCAGAGACAAAACTGCAAGGACAACAGCCGAGGTCGGAGCCACAGATTTGGATTTGTCACAGAGGGACAACGTACATTAAGGAACATTTAAAGGTCAAATGTCAATGCTCCCTATTGTAGCCAAAAGGCTATTTTTTTATTATTGTATTTATTTCCTAGTCATTATTACCTGGGGAGTTCATTTGTATTAACTGGACTAATAAAGGCGTGTGCTCATACTGAATGAGAGTGAACGATATCCGTCCAGTTCTTCTCCAGCGTCGTCCCTCCACTCTCCTCCTTCCATTTCCACTTCAAACTGACGGGCACGGCGAACGCCTCCAGCTCCTGCTTCAACACGTCCAGCTGAGCGCGCTCCTGCTGAGTCAGGGGGTGAAAGAGGAGGGGCGGGGGTCAACAGTGTGGGGCCTGTCTGACGATTTACTGACTAATTATTTTTGGTCAGCAGGTTTAAAAAAAAAAGCAGAAGAAATGTTGTTTCAGTGACAGACGTGGGCGGAGGAGCCCGGAACAAGTCTGTATCTGTTTCCAAACATGTCAGCATAAAATGTGACGAGTCGTGAGACGAGTTCATACCTCAGAGGCGATGCTTTTGTCAGACACTCCCTGACTGAACAGGACCTGGAGCGCAGACCTCGGTCTGGTTCCTGCAGACGTTCCTTTACTCACTGTTGCAAAGTCAGTCACGACTTTTTGTTTGGTCCGTCGCTGGAGGATCAGACAACGTCAACGACGGGAGTGATGAGCAACACAGCAACAGGCAACCTCGATATTCAACATTTTTGATCTTCCAGTGATGTAACCAATACATATGTTAATGATTCATTTTACTGTGAATTTAATTTAAGTGTGTGATTCTCACACTGTGGTAGGTGGGCCACTGGTGGTACATGAGCCTCCACCTGAAGTTTATAAATACTGGTGCTCTAACCTCTCTCGTGTGTATTCAGTTTTATAACTGACTGTATGTGTCAGGTGTAGTACTGAAATACTATGTGTAGTACTGCAATACTGATGTACTAATGGGCTGAAAAAATATATATAAATGACCAAAGATGATGATAAAGATGAGTCACATATTTATAAAACACTAATGTTTATTTTCTGCTCGTCTGTGGATTTAGAAAAGTAAAGTCAGGTACCTGTTGTACAGTAGTACTACTACATGACTTTACTTTTTAAATAACTAACAGTGATGCATGTGAACTCAGTTTTACTCCATCTGAGGTTCATGGACCATGGATGGTCCCTGTGATCTAAGTCCTACTTTACACCAGTCTTAGCTGAACACTGTGGCTCTGTGCTGCCGTGTTGGTCCTGGAGAGACAAGTACTTTATACTACATCTACACGTAGTCTGCTGCAGAAACGTTTCAGAACAACTGCTTTATGTAGTACTGGTACTTCACAGAGTCTGTGACGTATCACCGATATCACCGATCACCAAAACAAAAACCAAAAAAAAAAAAACAAAAAAAAAAAAACAAAAAAAAAAAAAAACAAAAAAAAAACCCTGAAGGCTCCGTCACATACCTGGTAGCCCAGTGTATTAAACTTCTGTTTGTCTGCTGACCCCTTGTGGTGATAATTAATATCTGCAGCTGATGTCGTCCCGTCGACCACGTCCGCCTCTCTGCTCTCACTGTCCCGCGGTCTGTCCACGTCTCCACTGTCCCTCCACGGCATCGAACCTTCGTCCGAATGCGACTCGTTTCCACCTCCATTGTTCACATGCAGGGGTTTGGAGGAGAAGCTGTGGAGAAGCGGACAGAGTCAGAGACAGGACACGGTGTCAGGGGACACAGTACAGACAACCGTGACTTTATTAAAGATGAATCTGAAGCTTTTCTTTAGCTGCACTGAAGAACTTTTTTCTGACAAACTTTTTTTTTGTCGGTGAACTGATCAACCACCGTGACCGGGTTCAGCCAATCAGATGACATCAAAGCAATTGACCAACGCAGGGGTCATCAACCACCGGTCTGCGCACCGGTGCTGGTCCGTAGGTCATTTAGTACCGGACCCAGTGAAAAAATGTCCTTGATTTACTGACAGACTTCATTCAGAAATAATCCAGTCAGATCCCGTCACTGTTTTCATTCAAAGATAATCTGTCAATGTTTCAGAAACAACAGGTCAAAGGTCATTCAGACTCTGATATCTAAAAGATGTTTGATTCACAAAATCTAACGATCCTGCAACGATGCTGCAGCTGATACCAGGTGACCGGTCCCTGGTACAACAAAGGTCAGGGACCGCTGGTCAACGCTGGTCAACAGAAGCTGCTGAGGTTCAAACTCCCATCAGTGACGATGATGATGATGATGATGACGATGATGATGATGATGATGATGATGATGATGAATCCCGACTGTCCGTCATATCCGTTGATGGAACAGGAGTTTCTGTCCTGATGACGTCACAGGGTTCATACAGAACAGTCAACAAAAAACATGTCACTGATGCCGCGGAGCTCCGTGAGTTCCGTTGACAACCTGCTCCATGTCGTCATGACCACAGTCAGTACTGACCACAGTCAGTACTGACCACAGTCCAAGTCTATGCAACATAAATTGGCCCCGAGTGTCAAACACTAACGATGTCTAAAAGTTAAAAAAAAAAAAAAAAAAAAAAACCGTTTCACCGAGCAACGCGGACTCAGGTGACAGCAGCTGTGTGTGTGAGTGTGTGTGTGTGTGAGTGTGTGTTTTTACACCTTCCATGTGTTTGAAGTGGACACCGACAGTTTCACATGACTCCAGCTCCAGTTACAGACCTCCGTGTCCCGGCCCGTGTCCCGGCGTGGACTCTGTGTCTCGTACAGAAATGCGCCTTTATCTTCATCAACACTGACATTTCAGAAATGTTGTTTTCATTCCGCGGCTCCACTTCCTGCTCGATCGAAGTTGTTGGGACTAAAACGGCTTCAGCTGCACTCGTTAATTCATTAACACCGAATTCATGCTGTTTTTTCACAGACGGACTTGAATGAACAGACGGCAAACATCACACGACTGACGCAGGTGCCTTCATCACTGCGTCCTGGTTGTTTACCTTCACCGTCCGTGACCCACTGAGACACCCCACTGTGACACCCCACTGAGACACCCCACTGACCCACTGCCGCTGGTTCTGTCCGTTTGAAGGAACACGAGTGGACATCTGGTCAGCACAAAAATCCCACAGAACCATAAAAAAAACCCTTCAACTTCCACAGGAGCTGCTCCTCTCACACACACACACACACACACACACACTCACACACCTGCAGTTAAAGTTCACACCAGATGAAAACGCTCGACCTACCTGGACTTCGTTGGATCCATTTTGTTTCACCGAGTCATCTTTGGTTTCTGTGAGTTTCCTCCTCTCTCTCTCTCTCTCTCTTTACCTTCACCCCTCCCTCCGTCCCTCCCTCCCTCCCTCTGCTGTTCTCACCTGCCTCCCCCTCCCTCTGCAACTAGCCTGACGAGAACAACTGGATTCTGCCGCCAACAAATCAGAGCTCAGGGTTAAAGGCTCACGTCAGACGGAGTTATTGATCACTCGGGGTCTGAGGAGGTGGCGTTCAAAAAGGTTGATCTTTAAAAAAAAAAACCCCAGAGAATTTCATTAAAGTGAAGCAGGAAAATAGAGAGAGTGAGAAAAAAAAAGATTTAAAAGAAAAATGACCAGTTGTGAGGGAAAGGTCATGACCTTTCAGCTGATGATTTAGGGTCAGAGTCTCACAGAGGAATGTCGACGTTCACTGAGCCTGGAGTCACACACAGGCTCTTCATCCTCACGACCCCCACCCCCCCGCTCCTCCCCCGACCTCCAGACCAGGTCACAGTGAAACCCACAGAGACACACGTGAGGAAACCACGGGTTTATTAACGTCCAGACGTTTGTTTGTATAAAACAGTTTACAGATAAAAGTGCTTCCAAAGAACAAGTTTCCAGTCGGAGGAGACAGACACTGATTCAGATCTGAACGTGCAAGCTTGGACTGGTCTCAAAGAAAAGGACAAAAAAAAAAGTTACTTGGCTGAGAGAGAGAGAGAGAGAGAGCTAGAGATACACAGAGAGAGAGAGAGCGTCAAGGTGTGTCCTGTTTTTTCATGGTAATGAATAAGACTTTTACAATGTGAAGTTGAAGAATGCTAATGAGGCTGTGGAGAGTTTATAAAACAGGACAGGGTGGGAGTCACTCCTGGTTCTGCCTTTAGTCACTGCAACCAGGAAATACTCAAACATTACCAGAGTACTGCTGTAAGTACTGCAGTACTTTACGTTTTTTTTCCCACATCCTTCTGCTAAAAACAATGAAACCCATTTTTAGTTGTTTTTTTTTTTGTGCCTTTATGAAACAGAGACTGTTTAGACAATGAAACCCATTTTTAGTTGTTTTTTAGGACTGGGACTTACCCACTGACACTGACCCCAGGTGACCCCAGGGTCCAGGTGGTTTTAGGTTCTGACCACTTACATTTCTAATGTAACAATAATTTACTAAAATTAAATAGAAAAAAACTCTTTTTCTACAAATGACATTGATTTCATTCACCTGTTTACTCTTGGGTTCTCAAAGTGCGGGGCGTGGAGCTATTATGGGGTGACAGCAAGGCAAGTGAGTTTCCACTGCACTGTTCGGTGCCATGGTGAGGGGTTGGGGTCAGGGGTCGGGGGGGTCATCAGACCTGACGATGTGTTTCTTTAGTTTAACACTAACACCAGGTTTGTAGGAATCACAGCTTTAAATAAAGTGTAAACTGGTTTAGTTTGAACTGTAGATCGGGGGGGAGGGGGGGAGGGAGGAGGCGAGAGTGGGAGGGTCACGTTTACAAACAAAACCATTCACACTAATTCACACTAATGGAATAATAAAAAGACAAACTTGGTCAAAGTGATCAGACTAACTCCAGATCGTAGTCGTACAGTACAAGGATCTTCACTCAGTGAAACTCCTCACGTTTTTTTTGTCCGTAGTTCAACTCCGGGTCAACGCTCCTGTTAGTGATGTCATCAAAGAGACCGACTTCTGACAACTTCCTGTCAGCTGCAACTTTGTTCTCTTCCCTCTTCCTCTGTCATTAAGACAAACTCACTGAGCTCATCAGTAGGGGGCGCCACCAACATTTAAAAACCTTCACACAATGGTATGAACTGGTATTTCACAGCAGAAAATGACAATTCGATTCTCTCATCACACTGTAAAAAAAACACACAGCTACAGCCACGAAGGTCCGCGGGAAAAAGTAGAACACATTTGAAACGTCCAACATCCAAACGTCCTCCTCTGTGGAGACAGAGTAGGTAGAGAAGACAGAGGCTCCGCCCACACCGGCCCGTGTGACCAGATTCTACTGACCGTTCTGGTTCTGGTTTCACATGGACTGTGTTGACACACACACACACGCAGGTCAACGGGGAAGTGAGGAAGTGAGACCTGGTGACACCAGCTGATTGGGCAACATGGGCAACAAGGATCAACCTTGAAATCCACGGACTGCTGGTTCAAATCCTGGCAGCCATTGAAGTAAAAACCACTGCAGTAGCGCTCACAGCGGTGTTCTTTTAGATGCTAGCTGTCTGTGATGCTAGCTGC